ATTTTGGCTCATGTAAAAGCATGAATTATCACTGACAATTAGTTAACTGGTTACAGTTCAAGGCATTTATTATCTTTTTTTTTTTTTTTTGACAGGAATGTTTGGTTCGGTAATTTGTTGATAGTCCCTAAGTGAACCTTCGGGCGCTGCGGCCGGGAGCGGTGGAGAACCGCTGGCCGACATTAGCGTTCATAAATCGGATCAACCTTGAGCTAAACGCCGCTTACTCCGCGGAGCTCGAATATCGAATATCCAACTTGAAACTAACTTCACTGCGGTTGATTACTAGACTGTAAAAGTACATTAGTAAATGTAAATGTACATCAGGAAGTGCTTTATGAAGCATAAATAACCTCAGTGTGTTCTGTTACTGTTGCATTTTTTGAATGTTACTTCCAGACTGATGAAAAATAAAATGTGTTTCTGCTGGAGATGGTCAAAGTTTAGTTTACTTTGATGTTTTTGTTCAAATGTCTGCACATACAAGAAGTTTACTTTTTTTCCCTTAAAAAGGGATGGTTTTCTTTCCTGACATCTTTTTGGAAACTTAGAATGAGAGATGACAATATTTTACAACCAAAAAAAGGGGATAGTTTAACGTGAGTACTCATGACTCAATGGTAACCTTTTGATATTCATTGTGTCAGCCAAGCACTTTATTTTTATGCTGATTGTGGTGCTTAAAATAATAAAATGTGTATCATTGCTGCCCAAGTGACTGATGTTTTATGCATCCTTATAAAGAGTATAACAAAACACTGTAAACTTGGGCTATTTTTGTTGTATCAAAAAGTAAACAAAATAGATGTAGGGCAGAGCGAGAAGATTGTGTATTTTTCTTACTTGAAGCTGTTGCACATCAAACAGGATAAATTCTGGTTGGGGGTTGTCACAATTCTATCACAGGGAAATGCAGAAACACAAGAGTGACCATTATTCATGCACACACAGTCCATTCAGAATTGTCCTTTAACTTAATATGCAGGTTTGGCAGGGTTGAAGGGACTAAGGCAGTACACTGAATTATCTGGAGAAACACATGCTTCCACAGACAGAAAACTCACTGTGCTGACTAAAACAAATAGACAGGCAAAAGTTTAAGGCGTTAATTTATAGATGTAATAATGAGCAATGTGCAGAGGTGGTCTCAAAGACTTATCACTGGGAATGGGTGGACATTTAGTTTTGGTTTTAGGAGACTAACCTATCCAATTTTCTTTTTCGATCAAAGAGGACGGAAAGATTCGGGAGTCTGAGGAGGTGAGGAGAAGGCAGGAATGGAGAGTGGGCAGGCTGGCAAGTAGGGGAATGAGGACAAGAAGGAAACTTAAAAGATTATACAGTCACAAAAACAAGCATGCACTGTAGATGAGCTGTGTGAATGTATTTTTTAACTAACTGGTTACTATACTATTTTTTGTTATAAACTAAATGCTTTGAAAAAATAAGTTCTTCGGTGCACAGATAAGAGTTATTTGCATTGATTTGTTGCAAGTTGTTAATGAGCTGGTCATAGGCTGTGTCTCAATTAGGGGTGTGAGAAAATATCGATACACTGAAATATCGCAATATTTCATTTCCCGATACTGTATCGATATTCTAAAGCCCTGTATCGATTTTTTATTAAGGTTTAAAATATCAACTTTCCTGCCAGCCGTTCATTTTTATGTTGTAGTTCAGCCTCTGACCACTAGTTGGCAGCAGTGAGCCAGCCATTTGGCTCCTCCACAGCTTGAGCACCAGAGAGTTAAGAGAGCGTTAGCATTGTGAGTAAACATCAGCTTCATGCTCCGATAGCTGAATCTGAGCGGAAAAGACCGACACCCTCTGYCTTCTAAGCTGAGGTAAGGTTACAAACAGTTACTTATTTATCAGAATGTCTGTATTTTAAGACAAATTAAGTGTCTTGTGCGCTCTTTTTTCCAACTGTAGTCAGTTTTCACGTTACGCATATAGCGCATGTGTCTATCACCTCGAGCGAGCTCGGCACTCCCCCCGCGACATAAAACTCTGTCTGTTGCTCTCATTAGCTACGTTTACATGGACAAAATTAATCGGATTAAACAGCTTTTCGGAATAAAAATGCGTCATGTAAACAGCCTGTTCCGATTATTCTGATCTGATTGAGCTCGATCCAAATTAATTTTCATCGGAATGAAAAGGGTGGGTTATGCCGATTGATAATCGGAATGACATTCATGTAAACACTTAATCGGATCATCTTATTCTGATTGTAGAAAACTGACCTCATGCAGCCGACAAATGTGGCCCACTAAATCCAGAAGATGAAGGCTTCATACCTTCTTGGCCGAGGATATCCCAGGGTTCATTGTGCCGTCATCAAACTAAATAGGAAAAACTTAGATGTGTCATGAATCACGTCTGTCCTGCTCTCACACCATGTCACAGTTYTTCACAGCCAAGTCCTCACTCATTGTTTCACCCCTCCCATCACAGAAATCCCAATCTAGCTCATGTCATGCACCTGTTCCCCTCAGTATATATTCCCTCAGTCACCACCAGTCCAGTGCCAGATTTATGAACGGTTTACCAAGTAATTTTTCCAGCGATCCCATGTCTTGTCTTGCCTGCCACGTTACGACCTTGTTCATGTCCTCTGGTTCCACGTCTCCTGCCTTGCCCTTGTCTGCTACCGTCCCGGATTCTGCCTTTCTGGTTTTGACCCTCGCTCTCGTTTTTGGATTCCTGCCTTTCGCCTCAGCCCCTATTGGATTTGCCCAGTCATCGGACCCACGGATCTCGACCCCTGCCTGTGTACCACGACCACGAGTTAAGTCTGACCCCCTTAACCTGTCGCTGATATCTGACCACATGGTTTTGACCCACGCCTGCCTCACGGATTCTCCTCAAGCCTGYGTAYCACGCCGCAGCACTAAACACGGAAGTGCCAGGAACCAACGTCACCTGAGACTCTCAAAGTCTTTCAAGGTTTCAGCTCCCAAAACTCTGCCACTAAAAAGGTTAGTGACTATTTTCTGCTCCAAAGCTCTGCCACTGACTTTGTTAGTCACTAACCTGATCATTTCTTGTTTAGACCTCCGTTTCCCAGTGACGTGTCGGTCCCGACGCTGCTGCTCCAGTTTTAATAAAATCCTTAAAACGTCTCTGGTGTCTGAGCAATCAGTGAAACTCGCAAACCCCATCATTACAAGATGGCAGCATTTTTATTTTATTTTATTTATTTTATTTATTTTACCAAGTTTGAAAATTTGTCATGGACTGAAGAATTTGTAAGTTTACCAACTTAGTTGATGAAATTTATGCTTCAATGTAATGTTAAATAAAATGTTATTACAAGACACTGGAGCTAAACCCAAATTATTAATGTTTTTTATTTACATGTAACCTTTCTAATCGTGAAAATGATATATTTTCCCAGTAAAAAGACATGTCAATATGTGTCCAATGCATTTTAAGTATGTAGGCACTCGATATAAAAAAACATCTCACCATGGTAATGGGGTATCAAACATACTGTAGGTCATTCAAAGGTAAGACTGTGTCATTTCACAGCCTACCCAGACTGTGAAGGTTGAGGCCTACGTGGCTATAAGTTTAGGTAGACTGCAGCCTTTGAATCAGGACACACTCTCAGTCTACAGGTTGAATTCAGTCTCACAAAGAAGCTCTTTTAAAGTTCTGGACACGTTTGGGGTGTGAGGGATGAAATTGCAGCTTCTAGTTCTGTTTTCCTATGCTTAATCAAAGTATACACACATAATTACTGGGGCAGACTAAAAATAGCAACACTAAAGTTTCTATTGCCTCATCAACCCCAACAGCCTGTCAGAACATGGCAACTTAGCCTGTGGGCAGCAAATGGAAAAGACTCATCTGTTACAACCCTCTTCCTTTTGAAGTAGCTATTTCCTCACATGTAAACATTTCACTGAGTTTTTTGTTTCCACAGATAGTGATGACACACGTCAGGCCACAGCTAAGGAGGCAGGTGACACCAGCTGAGAGAGTACGGTAGGTTCTGTTCTCTGGCACAGAGGAGCTTGTTCCCCTGGAGCAGTGCCTGTTGACCATGCTGGGAGACAGAAGCAATGCACATCCTTCATTTGGGCTTTTCCCTGTGCTAAGACCAAATGTCATCAACTTAGTTAAAGGCTTCATTCTCCCACTATTTACTTCAGTGTGTGTGTTTCAAATGTTCTTTATGTAAGAGTGCCCAAAGTAGATCGAAATAAAGCCAAAAGGATTTCTTTGTGCCTAGGACATTACTTTTATTCATATTATTCATATTATTCATATTATTATTATTATTATTATTATTATTATTATTATTATTATTATTATTATTGCAAAATTAGCTTTATTTGAATAGTGTTTATTTGGTTTGAATATGCTTAATGGAGAATATCTGTTGATAGACAGTAATTTGCAAGCATTTGTCAAGGGTTTCATTAATCAAAGACACTTTCTATCATTACAGTTTTAATTACACGGAAGGATTTTTAATTTAAAAGGATTTGGTAAAAACAAGCCAAGCACTTGCTGAAATGAAACTACACACTTCTTTTATGTCATAAATCAAGGTTCACATCTTTTCAAAGACAAAAAGAAAGATTTCTATTAAAAAAACCAGCCAAAGTTTTTTATTTATTTATTTTTTCCTGCGGAAAAAGAATTTTAAAAATCTAAACAGATGAGCTGAGCAATTTGCTCTAAAGGTGTTGGGACTGTAAATGAGGTAAAGGCTAGCAAATCCTCTAAGACAGGGGTTCCCAACTTTGGGGGCTCCCCCTTCCCCTTCCCATGAGTTGGGGAGGGTGGGGGAACATTATCTGTTCATAAAATGCATTGTTTGTATATAAAAATCAAAAAGACAAATCCATTTGAAATTTTGTATAAGTCAATTCTTCTTTTTCCCCCTTTTCCAAATAAAAGTTTGTAACTATTAATTTTATTCTTTCATTATTATTGACAAAGAGATAAAGGTTGAATGCATCTTTGGGACAGGGGGTAGTAACCTTGGGTGGAGGTGGGGGCCCAGCTTGGCTTGAAAGTATGAAAGTGGGGCTTTAAGGATAATACCACATCTCTAAAGCAGTGGTGTTCAGTCCTGGTCCTCTACAGCCACAATCCTGACACATCTGATTGGGCTGAATGAGTGACAGGCTACAGCAGAACTTGAACACATGCTGGGGAGCAGAGAAACATCTGAAACATGCAGGACATTGGCCCTCGAGGACCAGCATTGGACACCATTGCTCTAAACTATGGTTGTCTTTATCATCTTTTTTGCATGATCTCATGCAACATAACATATGCTCAGAGAATTCGAGTATACACTCTTGAAGCATGTAGCAATTTGTTCACCAGCCATTCCTGCGAGGGATCACTGCTTTTCAATGCAGTGAGTGTCTGAGTAGATGGTGTAACTGAAACAGTGTAGTACAAGATATTTTTGTAATGCGGGGGGGGGGGGGGGGGGGTTGGCTGGAGCATAGCCCAGTAGTGAACAAATGAGCAGCGGGTACATTCCATAACTCAACACAGGCCCAGAAAACAATCAACCATGCACACACATCTACTGTAGGGTCAGTTTTTTTAGAAACACCAATTAACCTACCATGCATGTTTTTGTGTGAATTCACACATGCACAGAGCAAACATAAAATAAAGTTTTTGAAATAAATGTTTTTCTTTCTTCTGCTCTGCCTTGTTTGTTACCAAGACTCATTGACAACTACTGCTTCTGACCACAAGACAAGCCACATCACATGTCAGACTTTCAATTCATCTTCAAATCTCTGGACAGTTTTTGTCACGACAGCAAGCAGACCACTGTCAAAGCTCTGAATAAAAGATTGTATTTGCTCCAAGCAAACAAAGAATAAATGAGTCTTTTTTTGGGGTCACCATTCTCTGACACATCTCCAGAGACTTTGCAAGTGGCAAAATAATCACAAGCAAAGCCTTGAAAGCTTCCAGCAACCCTCAAAGTATGTTTTTCTCTCTCTTATGGGAGACCCATGAAAATTAGAGTTGTGGATAATGAATTTTAAATGGCAATTTGCACAAATCACACATTTGTTTGAGAAATTGTTAGATGCAAAGTTTTGAAGATGTCAGAAAGGTCCCTTGAATAAAAGATTCTCAGTCTGAGAAACTAGAAATTGAATTTACATGGAAGTGTTTTATGCCAGGTAAGTCACGTGAGCCACATTAAGAGTTTCAGTGCTTCTTTATTTACAAAGTGATAAAATACATTGTGGATTCCATGAACATTTTCTCAAGGTAATGACAAAGCGATCCCGCTAAGCACTCACACAGAGTCATAGACAAATTAAATCATATGGTTTAAAAAAATGATACAGCCACATCACCATTTGGATGAAATGTACAGTATTCTCAAAGAATTGAGGTAGAAAAAGCACAAACTGTTCAAATGATGACATTTGGCAAGGGTATGTCGAGGTCATGAATGAGTTCAAAATGGAAGTAATCGCATTTTGATTCAAATCGGGGTGAAAGGCTAATAACCTTTAGGACAAAAAAGTTTTGAAAACTTGGCAACTGTTTTGTTGAAAAGGTCAATAAATAAATGTGGGATGAAACCAATAAAGATAAAATAGCAAAAGTAATAAAAGTCTGTGGTTTGGTGCTTTCTTCCACATACAAATAGGATTTTGTGTTCAATTCAAATGTGAAGTAAAGTGTTTGGGTTTACCATAAAAAAGGCTTTTGTCAAATTATTAATAGCTAGTCAAATTCTCTTTTTATTCTATGGTTATGTTTGACAAATGTACCATGCAGACAAACTACTTTCAATTTCTTTTATAACTATGAACACTTAGATTACAAGAATAAAATGGGTTCTCATTATGGTGCAATTTAACAGCACTCCCTTTTGCTCTCCCTTTATATATTTGTGCAACATTTTCAGGACTTCTGTAGAATTTAGTGACAGTTTCAAAGTAAAAGAAATTAAAGGTAATGAGGGGAATTTAAATAATATTCAGTATTATCTTGGCACCACCTCAATGGCATGTCTTGTTTTAAAACCAAACCTGAGACATGCTCGTGTCAAGATGAAGATAACCTGAAGACATTGTGCCACAAAACTAATGGCTCCTCTTATAAAACATTGATTTTGTTTATGTACAGAAAACAGTTTGATTGATTTGTGTTCAGCTTGAAAGCCTTGGGGTAATTGTGTTTACATGTCATTTCCTTTGCAGCTGCAGTCTAACGCCATAAACCAGGAGCTGGGATGTATTTGTGCCATATGCATGAAAGCAGTATGGCCCGTCAAATATATTCTATGATGTTCTGTCTTAAAAGAGAATGGCTGAGTCAGCAACAAACTGAAGTATGCTGTGTCAATGCAAACAGTGACTCCCATTCTACCAGTTTGTTTTATCTGCAGGTCTGTCGTGTCCTTATTGTAGAAGCGTAGGATCACCATGAAGCACAGTAAATACTGCTTAACCCCCCATGTTTAGACCTTGAGGGCCTCGTGGACCCCCACAGCAGACAGCCGGCGGTTGATGTTGCGATAACGGCAGCGTAGAAGGTCACGATAGGTGGAGCGCAGATCTCGATTGAAGAAGGCGTAGATGAAGGGATTCATCAGTGAGTTGGCGTAGCCCAACCAGAGCAACGTGCGCTCCAGCCAGATGGGCACGCAGCTACACTCCACTCCGCAAATAAACGGCCGGGCGGTGGACAGAATGAAGAACGGCAACCAGCACACAGCAAAAACCCCTACAATCACCCCCAGTGTCGTGGCTGCCTTCTGCTCCCGCTTGAAGATGGAGATGTTTTTGCGTTCTCGGTTCAGCAGACGGGACAAGGCAGCGCAGTCCTCGGCCACGCCGGGTGGCTTCAGGCCCTGCATGCGCAGCGCCTCGTTAGCCACCGTTTCAAGGCGCTCGCGCCGCGACAGGTCAGTGAAGCGGTGCTTGGCGCCGCTCTTGCGGGCCGCCCTGAAGATCTTGTAGTACATGACGAGCATTACCAGCATAGGGATGTAAAAGGCTACGGCTGTAGAGTAGATGGTGTAACCAAAGTCTTGGCTAATGAGGCACACGCCGGCCGTGTGGACATTCTTGGCCCAGCCACAGAAAGGCGGCAGGGTGATGGATGCTGACACCAACCACACTCCCAGGATCATCTTGGCCATCAGTTGCCCATTCTGGCGTGCAGGGTAGGTGAGAGGTCGAGTGATCCCCAGATACCTGCATGGAAAGGAGGCAGAGAAAACATTAAAGGGGCAATATCATGTAAAATCAACTTTTTTGAGTTTTATATCATGTTATAATGTTATACTCTCATAAAAAAAAACATGCCCAAAGCCTTGCTCTGACTCATTCATGCATGTTTGAGAAATCCTGCAGCGTTTTTAGGAAGCCATGCTGAGGAGCAAAACGACAGGTAGGGACCAGAAACGCCCCTGGGATGTGTCTTTAAGCCGAGCTTCCTCATCACGAAGCACACCTCCCCACCCCCCACACCCCGCCCATAATTCCAGGCACTCGGCAGTAACAGAGCAAACGCGTGAAACTGAAAGTGAAACTTAAGCTGTCTGCTGCTCTTAACTACTTCTCACTCAGTGAAGCTCTTTTCAGATTAAAAATACCTTTAAGGAAACGTATCTTCAGAAGCCAAGTAAACTGCATCATAGCGCACGCTCTAACCCACCCCCGCCCGCCCACACTGAAATGGAAGAGACAGAGGCCAATTTCAAGGTAATTAGAAGAGGAAGTGATGAGAAGATGTTTATTTTCTATTTAAACATAAAAACAGCATTTTCATAACAGCTAAAGGTGACATAGATACATTATTGTAGTATTTAAATATATGCCTGAAAAACACATAATATATCCCCTTTAAGATTCATCGTTCAAACCTTGTTTTTCAAAAAAAAGACTAAAATAAAAGGATAATAATGTAACTTTAAAATTCAGTTTAACCTTTAAAAGAGAAAGAGTTAAATGCCTAACATTCCTTAATATAACTCGCCAGTTTTCATGACAGAGGCTGTGTCTCAATTCAGGGGCTGCAGACGACAAATGGCACATACAGTATGTCATCCACTTGTGTCACTGCATTGCGATGTAGGCTGTCCCAATTCATAGGCACTTACTCATGCAGCTGACCAAACCCCACAAACGAAGCTGCATCTAAGTATCCTATGCCAGTGTTTTTCAACCCTGGTCCTCAAGGCCAACCCATTCTCACTCCCAAGTCGTCACATATTGACGCTTTTCCAAGGTTCCCTCTACGTCCGATTTTGACGCGCCGGGTACCCCCGTCACGTCAGTTACTGACGAGATGGGGCGAAATCTGTTGTCATATTTTCAGAAAGTGTAGAAAATGCGCAAAAACTACCGTTTNAAATGCGCAAAAACTACCGTTTCGAAGCCTGAAATTACCTTTGTTCACTTTAGACATCCTGTCCCTGACCCTAGTACCTAAAATTAACCATTTTTAGAAAATGTAGGAAATTCACGTCAACATGTTCCAAAGCCTGAAATTACCTAATATTCACCATGGACATCCTACCCCTGATCCCAGTACCTAAACKTAACCATTAATCCTGATCCCTCATGTTAACCTCAGACCCCCRACCCAAAGACCCCTGGTGGCGCAACCCGGAAAAKCCGCGKGCGTCAAGGACTGACGCGAGGGGGGTACCCGGCGCGTCAAAATCGGACGTGGAGGGAACCTTGGGAAAGCGTCAATATGTGACGAGTCGGGAGTGAGAATGTGTAGTCAAGGCACACTGCCCTGCATGTTTTAGAGGTTTCCCTGCTTCAACATAGCTGATTTCAATTGATTGTTGATTAACAGGCTTTAGTTTAACTGCAATCATCTGAATCAGGTGTGTTAAAGCAGGGAAACTTCTAAAACATGCAGGGCAGTGTGCCTTGAGGACCAGGGTTGGGAAACACTGTCCTACACAGCCGACGTTGTCCCAGGATTCACTGCACCATTAGCAATCTACACCAAAAAATGATGAAAGCAAAAGTTTTATTTTTTTTTTCCTTTTTTATCATGGACTAAAAAATGATGTTTTAATACTACTGAATTTTATGGGGCAACGAGTACTCAAGCAAACATACAGTATGTCGTCCGTAGACTAGACCATCTCCTTTTACAGCCTACAGCTCCCAAACTGAGACACAGTCAGAGTTTAAGATTCAGCTGCATCTTGAAAGCTGTAGACACATGCCCAATGATGACGCTCTGAAAATTTAATTCAGATCCCTAGAGCATGAGATATTTTGCTAACAGTACAGACAAATGAACATAAAAACAGGTCAAAACACCACTGCCCCACCTTCATATTCAGTAACATATTGTCTTATCACTTTGACACAGCCAGACACAAGGTCCTGTGGAGTTTTCTGTAAGAGGTCCTAAGCTTTGTCCCTGCCTGGGGGGTAATGCTGCTTTACTTCAGCTCTCGAGCTGTGCGGGTGAAGCTGGAACTATCAATCAAACAGGCAGCTAAGTGAATTCAAATAGCAACTGAGGGTGTCAGAGAAACAAAAATAGGTGTGAAAAGCTTGGATTTGTACAGAGATTGAAAAATAGCCACTATTCGCACTAAATGATAAATGTGTGCATACTTCTCACCATATTCTGGCTCAATGTCCACATTCATCTTAAGCAGCAAATGTGTCATTGATGAAAGTTGTATGTTTCCGGCTTACAGCTCTTTTTTTCACTTCATTGTTAATGAAAGATCAAAAGCATTTGGGAGCAACAACCAATTCTACTTATCACTCTGCTGTGATGCTATCTCTGCTGTGGAGGTCCCACTCAGATCGCTCAGCTTTGAAAGAATCTTTCATTTTATCAAATGTCGGTCTCAAATGCTGAGTCGGCTCAAGAGAAGTCTGGTGCTCAGATCTCAGTTTCACTTTTACATTTTAGCTTGCGTGTCTCAAAGCAGTGTTTTGTGTTGTTACGAATTCAGTGGAGCCTAATACAGATAAAAACAGACAACCGATCTAGCATTTTCAAAGAGAATGTGTATTTCTCTCCAATGATGCCACAGTTTTAAACTTGTGTTAATGACAGGGATGTAGCTCAGAATATGTGTTGTGAATAACTCTCAGATACTATACCACAGAGCTCAGTATCAGTAAACTTCCCTGAGTTCTAGTCATGTCTGAGTGGCTAAAGTGGACAAGTTGTGGAAACCATCCTGAACTAAAATGAGTTGTAGATCAGGGCTATTCAACTAAATTGCTCTGGGGAGCCACATTTACTCCACAACTGAGGGGCTGAACATCCAAGCAATAAATGTCATTATGTAAATAAAACAAGTATTACAAAGATCTGTTACCTTTGAAGTAGTTTATTTTGCTGTATTCAATCATGAATACAACATTCAGAACCATATAAAAGTAGTGATAATTAAACAATATCAAAAACAAAAATAACACATTTTGCCTCCTATTTGACACAAATATTTTGACATCTCTGAATTGCCAATTTTTAAACCAATTTTATTTTATACTTATCTTAGTTTTATCTTCAACTCCTTGTAGTTTTAACTGTCTTGAGTGGTCATAGAAATGTTTTTTTACCAGCTTCTAGCCAAGATTCTAACATTTCTGTAGATACCCAACATGTCTGTGTTTAACTAAAATAACTTATAGAAATTAAAGTGGGCTTAAGAGATGAATGAACCGATTGACGGGCCGAACTTTGGTCACTCGCGGGCCGGATGTGGCCCGTGGGCCACCAGTTGAATAGCTCTGTTGTAGATGGACATGACTTTTCAAATGTATGACAACTCTACCACCTGTGCCACGGTGCTGCCTCTGGTCTTAAACAGTTAATACCAAAGTCTTAAGAAAAGATCTTCTGCAATGTGTGGCTCTAAAAGTATATGTTCGGAATGACTCCTAAAGACAATGACCAAAATGTTTTTTTGCACCTTTGCCTTTGGTAAGCAGTGATAATTAAACAGCTTCACTGTCAAACATCTTAAAGGCTAAACTCTGTCTGAAATCCATTTCAATCTTTTGGATATGTTAAATGGAGTATGCCGCTTCTCTGCTGCAGGCTGCAGCTTGTTAAAAACTGACATCTTCCAGTACATGTGGTATTGATTTTACTACAGATCATTTGCAGTGAACACTATAGATTTAATGCAGCTGAAAACACTCAACATGCAATTAAAACCCGGCCTCAGAACACACAAATGTCTCACTCGTCAATAGTTTTGTTAAATTGTCTTTAAAAAGCTGCACAGAGCTTTTTTTCCCTTTGTTTAGTTTAGTTTTTTTCAGATCCTGTCTTGAGCGCACATAATTTGAAGGATAGCTGAGATGTGCTGCCTGCATCTCATATCAGAATCTGTCACCATCGCCATGACAACAAGTAAAACATCCATCATTTAGCGTAGTCAAGATGGCTCATGTGGAGGACAGCTGAAGACCACAAGACAGAAGAAATGCCAAACAGACACTGCGTTTTTAGTCAGAAATATATAACTTACAGTAACAGTTTGTTACACTGTTTTAGCTCACATTTGTCAGTGGATGCTAGTCACATGTCAAATGTGTGAATGACCATTTTAGCATTCACACTATTATTTTCCTGTTTTAAATTTTTCTTTCTGTCTTTGGCAGTTTAAGTACTTCTAGATTCTCTGTGTTATTTTAGCTCTTATTAGATTTTTTTTGGCATCTTTTTTAGAAGGTGGCCTGTGACCTAATTTGGTCCAAGGTTATCTCTTGCTAGTTTTTTTCCTAAGTGGGTGCAACTCCTGTATAATTGCCCTATTTTTTTATTTGTCTTGTGTTACTTTTAGCTTTTGCCTATTGTTCTAATACTTTTAGTTGCTGTTTGTTACTTCTAGTATTTATTTTTACTTCCATGTTTTTAGCTACTGTCCTGCTAAATTTAGCTTATAGCTAGCCTTCGGCTAACTTTTAGCCAGACTTTCTGTTTATTTAGCAGGCCTACTTAACCCTTTGCAAAACAAAATTAAGAGTTGTAAAGTATCTAAGTACAAATACTTTGTTACTGTACTTAAGTAGAATTTTTGGGTATCTGTACTTTATTTGAGTAATTATTTTTCAGCCTACTTTTTACTTCTACTTCTTATATTTTCACACAGTTATCTGTACTTTCTACTCCTTACATTTTTTAAAAAAGGGCAAGAAGTATAAAGTCGTTACTTTTAGTTCATTTTTGCTTGTTTTCATTCGGCCTG